AAGAAGGCCGCGCTCGAGCGGAAGCAGAAGATGGCCGCGGAGAAGGAGGCGAAGAAGGCGAACATGTTCGGGCCGAAGCCCGTCGCCTCGAAGCTCCCGAACGACGACTCCATGTGGGACGACTTTTGATTTCCCCCTCCTCTCTAACCTTGAACTACATTTTGCAGTTTCATCCGAGAGCATGGGCAGCCCTTGAGCATGCGCACTCTCCTCCGCTGCTGCCTCGCCGTCGCAGTGGCGCGGAAGCGTTTGCGCTACGCCTGCGACCACGACGCGCGCGCCGGCGACGACATCTCCGGCGACATCTGTCGCGCGCCGTCGAGTAAACCGCGGCTCATGGTCTCGCTGGGCCCTGGGTACGAGCTGCGCTGGCTCCACATTCCGAAGTGCGGCACGTCCTTCGCGACGGCCGTGTACCGCGCGGCCTGCCCGCGGCTGCCGCCCCACGCGGCGATCCCCGAGCCGACGACGCCGTTCCCGGGCCACGTCCAGGATTACTTCGCGAGTTGCTTCCCGAAGGACGCGAGCCGCGGCGCCTGCCACCTGGCGCCGGAGGACACGTTCGCGCCGAGCCCGACGCACGTGCCCTTGCGCGGCTTCGACCCGACGCGCTACGCCTACGCGACGATGCTCCGCGACCCGTGGCAGCGGCTCGCGTCCGCGCATCGCTGGAAGGCCCAGTTCTTCGACGCGGGCTGCGTCGAGCTGACGGCCGCCTGCGCCCACCGGAATTTGGGCATCTACGTGAACATGATCAACGGGAACTGGAGCGACGGCCGGACGCCGCGGACGCGGCGCGCCGTCGCGTACCCGGACGACGCGGCCGTCGCGGCCGCCGTCGCGCGCCTCGCGGACTTCGCCTTCGTGGGCATCGTCGAGCGCTGGGACGAGTCCCTCTGTTTGTTCCACGCGACCTTTGGGGGCTTCCTCACGTCCGGCGAGCTCGTCGAGCGTCGGCGTCCCGCGGCGACGTTTCGCGAGATCGGGGAGACGTGCGCGGTAGGTCAACGTGCGCCCCGGCGAACGAGCGCGCGCGGCGGCGACGTCCGCGGCGACGTCCGGGGCCTGGGCGCCGCCGCCGGCCTACGACCACGACCACGCGGATGCACTCGAAGACCACGCGGACCACCGGCTCTACGCGGCGGCGCAGGCCCTCTTCCAGCGCCGCCTCGCGGCCGCGTTCGTCACGTAAGGTTATCGCCGGGGGGTCCTCGTCGGGGGCGACGACGTGCTCTGCTTCCTGACGAGCTTGTGTTTTCCGAGCGAGCGCCGGAGCTCGCCGGGCGACGCCGCGCCGTCGCCGTCGTCGCCGTCGCCGTCGTCGCCGTCGCCGAAGGAGAATTTTCCTGAGTTGAGGAGGACGTGCTCGACGCCGCCATCTTCGCTGAAGAACTCGAGGTTGATCGACGAGATGAGCGCCGAGAGGAGCGTGAGCCCGATCAAGGCGACGACGGACCCGTAGACGTACTGCCGCATGACCTGGTCGCGCGTCGCCTCGCCGCGGATCAGCGGCGGCGCGAAGTCGCCGAGGCCCACGGTCGTGAACGTCACCACGCCCATGTACGCCGCGTTGCCGAAGGTCATGACGCCCGCCTGCTGCGCGCCGAGCGCGACGACGACGATGTAGAGCACCGCCCACACGAAGCAGGCCCGCGCGAGGCCGTGGTGCTTGCGCTTGTGCTTGGGCCGCCGCAACACCTTCCGGAAGAAGCGCTGGGACTGCTTGACGGCCTCGTGGACCGCGGCGCCCGTCAGGTTGAGGATGTAGCCGAAGTAGGCGACGCCGAAGACGCAGATGACGGACGACGCGACCTTGCCCCAGGGCGTCTGCGGCGCGAACGTGCCGTAGCCGATGGTCGTCACGAGGGTCGTGACGAAGAAGACGGCGCCGGGCCAGGTCCAGTAGACGTAGCCGGGCCGGAGGTCGCACGACGTCGTGATGGCGCGCCGGAGGTCGTCGACGACCGCGAGCACGGTCGCGTTGGTCGCCGCGAAGTCGTAGAGCTGCCCGAAGTCGCGCTGGATGGCGATTATCTTTTTCTTCAGGGCCTTGCGGTCCTCCTTCTCCTTGTCCTTCTCGCAGAAGTAGAGGACCGCGCCGAAGAGCATGATGGCCCCGAGGAAGAGCGTGAGGTGCTTCGCGATGTAGTAGGGCGAGAACGCGGCCTGATCCTGGCCGAACTTGCCCAAGCTCTGCGATTTCCGCCTCGTGAGCGTCCTCGAGTCTTGGAGCAGCAGCTCGCGCTTCGACGAAGCGGAGCCGGCGGCGGCGAGCCCGACGACGTCGCGCGTGCCGCGCGTGGACTGCGCCTCGAGCATGTGGCCTTCGCGCATCACGTCCGGCGGTTCGATCGTGGACGCATCCCCGAAACCCGGGATGCCGAGCCGCGTGGGCGACGGCGACTGGGCCTTTTTCTCCGCCGACTTTCCTCGCCGCCGTTTCGATCCTTTCTTCTTCTTCGCGGCGCGGCCCCGCGCGGAAGCGGGATTCGAAACGGGTCGCGCGCGCGCGGCGACGGGGTCGGATTTATTCTCCTCCTCGCCCCAGACGCACAGCGAGTCGAGCATGGTTGAAAGTCGCGCCTCGTCGGATTCCGTGATGCGTCCCGGTTTTCGACGTTGTTCCAAACAACTTGTGAGCGCCCGGCGGCGGCGGCTGCCCACGGACCCGCACGCGAAAGCGAATGCGCCTTGCAACACGAGTCATCACACTCATCGCAAGCACAAACGAGTCGTCGCCATCGCGAAGGCGAGCGGCTCGCCAACCTCACGACGTCGACGCTCTCCATCCATGTGAGAGAGGATGGCTATGTGGCAACGCGCCGGGGCAGCCATGGGGCCGCCATGAACGTGCCCGGCTACGTGCCGGCCGGCTTCGTCCGCAAGCCGCGGAGCCCGCAGGACGATGAGCTCCTGCTCCGGACGCCGCCGCCGGCGGCGCCGCGGGCGACGACGAGCCGCGGCGTCATGACCGACGGGAGCGAGGACGCGGCGCCGCGGGCCGTCGCCGACGGCCGGCGCTCGGCGCCGCGGTCCGACGCCTTCGGGTCGCCGCCGCCGCTCCTGTCGCTGCCGCCGCCGCCGCCGACGCCGCCGCCGCCGAGCCCGCCGCTGACGTCGCCGCCGAGCCCGTGGCCGAGCGCGGCGCCGCGGCCCGACGCGGCGCCGCGGACCGTCGCCGACGACCGCTGCGAGGCGCTGCTCCTGGGTCCGCTGCCGACGGCGCGCGCCATCGACGTCGGCCGCAACGGCGCCGCGTCGCCCTGTCTGTCCGGCTGCTCGTCGCACCGCTGCGGCGCCGACGGAAGCGGCTCGCCGCTGAGCCACCGCGTCGCGTTGACCTTCAACGAGCTCAAGGCCCGCGCGCACCAGCAGGCCGTGCTCGTCGACGCCATGCGCCGGGAGCGCCAGGTCGCGCGGTCGCAGCTGGCGATCCTGGAGCGCGAGCGCGACTACTACAAGTCCGCGCTCCGGTCGTCGCTGGCCTGGGCCAAGGGCATGCAGAGGCAGGCCGACCAGCGGGCCGACGAGCGGCGACGGCCGCGGCCGCGCATCACGCTCGACGCGCCGCCCGGCGTCGCGCGCGGGCTCGGCGCGCGGCGCGCCGCCGCGGACGGCGGCGCCGCGGCGGCCGCGGCGGCGACGCCGAGGAAGCGCGCGCCGCGCGCCGCGCGGGCGGTCACGCCGGGCGGGCGCGCCTGGACGCCCCTCGTCACCATCGCCCGGGACTCGTCGCCGCCGCGGCCCGCGCCCGCCGCGCCGCCGGCCGCCGCGCCGCCGGACGTCGCCGCGCGGCTCGCGGCGCGCCGCAAGGTCCACCGGTCCGCCATGCTCGCCCAGCTCCGGCGGGCCGCGCGCCTCGACGCCGCCGCGGAGCACGACGCGGAGGCCGCCGACCCGCTCCGCCGCGAGGCCGCGTACCACGCGGGCCAGGGCCGGCGCGCGCGGAAGCCCAAGGCCTACCTCATCGAGTCCATGGCCAACTTCACGTCGCTCGCCAAGCATCTGGAGATCCACGACCACTCCTAAGACGACCCCCGGGTGTCGCGGCGTCGAGTCTCGGGCGCGCGGAGGAGGCTCGGAGGTGCGCGGCGGAGGCGGCGCTCGAAGGCGTGTGTCGCGCGACTTGTCCGCGCGGAGGACTTTGGCGGCCTCCAGTCGACTGCTGTGGCAACGAGCTGGACATCTGAATCTCGCGCGCGCCGCAGCCGTCGCGAGCAGGATGTGGTGGCCGTCGAGCATGGGCGGCGTGCAGATCCAGGCGGACCACCTCGGCGGCGGCCTCGTGCGGCGCGACACGAACGAGGAGCGCGCGCGCTTCTTCACGGACGCCGCGTCGCGCGGCGTCGGGCGCGCGCTCCTCGAGGACCGGCGCGCGCCCTTCGAGCACTTCTTCCCGCGGAATCTCTTCCTCAGCGCCGTGCACGCCGTCGCGTTCACGGCCGCGCCGGCGCTCGCGGCCGCGACGCCCGGGCCCGACGCGCCCGACGACGAGGAGCTGCTGGACTGGGAGAAGCTGGCCGAGGAGCTCAAGGACTTCAAGCAGCGCGCGGCGGCCATGCTCGTGCGCGTCCTCGGCTGCACGTCCCTCAAGCGCGCGCTCGAGGCCGCGTGCGTCAAGTACTGCGCGCTGCCGACGGCCGACAAGCTCGTCAAGGACGCGTCCAAGTCCGCGCTGCGCAAGGCGGCGCGCCACGGGCGGCTCGGCGCGTCCTACCGCATGCTCGCGACGGCGGCCTACGCCAACGCCCTCTCCTACGTGTCGAACCTCGCCGTCGAGGAGGCGTGCTTCCTCGCGCAGTACGCGCGAGAAACGAAGGCGGACCCGCGCGCGGAGCTCGCGCACCGGCGCAAGCTCAAGAAGCAGAGCGCCGCGGCCCTCGTCGGCTACGGCGCGGCCTACACCTTCGCGACGCGCGTTTGTCCGGCGCCTTCTTTTCTTTTTTTGGTATTTTTTCGACGCGGCGCGCGCAGGCTCGGCATGGCGCTCGGCACGGTCGTCAAGCCCGGCTGGGGCACGGTCATCGGCGGCGCCTTCGGGGACCTCCTCGGCATCCTCCTCCTGTAGGACGCGCATTTTAATTCGAGTGGACCATACCCGAGTACCTTGAAGGTGTACGTTGAAGCGGGCTGCCCACGACGACGACGATGGTCTGAATGCCTTCCTTGTTGGGTCTCCTCGCGGCCTTGCTCGCCGCGCCGGCGGCGCGAGGCGAGTGCGAGCGCTTCATCGTCATCGCCATGCAGCGGTCCGGGTCGCGCTACTTCGTGCACCAGCTGTCGACGCACCCGGAGATCGTCAGCGACGGCGAGCTGTTCGTGGGCTGGGGCGGCGAGGGCGGCCGAGGCTACGCCGACTTTGGCCCCATGAAAAAAGAAATCGAACAATCCTTCGACCGCCACTGCGCCATCGCCGGCACGAAGTTCGCGGGCTTCAAGTGGATGACGAACCAGGGCCACGACGAGCGGCGCCACGCGATCAAAAAGTACATGCTGAACCGCGGCGTGAAGCTCGTCTACCTCTGGCGGCGCAACGTCCTGCGCCAGTTGATCAGCAACCTCGCGAACCGGCGCACGGTCGGCCTCGCGCACCCGGAGTCGCGCGAGGACGCCGCCAAGGCCGACGTCGATCTGGAGTTGCCCGCGGGCGGCGACCTCATCCACGCGCTGAAGAAGATCGAGCGCCAGCGCCGGCGCGTCCGGTCCTACTACCACCCGGAAGTCAAGGAGACGGCCGTCTTCTACGAGGACCTCATCGCGGGCAGCCCGCGGTACAACGACTCGTGGGCGCGCGTCGTCAAGTTCCTCGGCGCGGCGCCCCACGCGTTCGAGCCGAGCGCCGCGGACACGGTCATCATCCACCAGAGCCGGCCGACGCTCGCGTCCGTGCGCAACGCCGACGAGGTCCGGGCGACGCTCGAGGCCGCGTGCCGCAACCAGCGCGACCGCGAGGCGCACGCGCACGTGGCCGCGGACATCCTCGTCGTCTGCGACGAGCTCCAGCGCGAGTACGGCGCGTTCCCGGAGGCGCCGCCGGCCGCGGGCTACGTGGCGACCTAAGCAATGAAGCGGCGCGACGCCGTGGCGAAGAGCGCGTCGCACTCCGCGAGGACGGCCTCTGGCAAAATTAAGCCCGACGCCATGAGGCCGATCTTGCAGTCAACGTAGCCAGCCTGCTTAACCGCGTTGTTCCGGCGTCTGTTTCGACCGCGGGCTGCCCGCGCGCGCCCGGCACCGGACCCGCGCCGCCGGCCATGTCGATGCTGCCGCCGCTCCGGAGCGCCTACCCGGACTCGGGGAACCCGCCGCCGATGCCGCCGAAGAAGGGCAACCGACGGAAGGTGCCCGTGCCGCCGTCCGAGGACGACGACGACCTGCACAGCTACCACGCGAGCCACCACAGCTACGTGCCGTCTCCCGAGCGCGTCGACGACCACATGGACGAGGACCCCTACGGCGACGATCTGTACAGCGTCGACCCCGGCGCGAAGCGGCCGCCGTCGGCGCCGCCGTCGGAGCACTTCGTGGACCCGCCGGACGTGACCATCTCGTCGGGCGTCGCCATGAAGGGCGAGCTGTCGTTTCCCAAGCTGCTCCGCGTCGAGGGGAGCTTCGTGGGCAGCCTCAAGGCCGGCGGCGACATCGTGGTGGCGCCGACGGGGACGCTCGAGTCGGACATCGACAACGACGGCGGCTACCTCCTCGTCGAGGGCAAGGTCATCGGCAACGTGAGCGTGCGCCGCGTCCAGATCTCGTCGTCGGGCCACATCTTCGGCGACATCACCTGCAACAGCTTCATCATCGCGCCGGGCGCGGTCGTCATCGGCGCGTGCCAGGTCCGACCCGAGCCGCCGGAGAAGAACCTCGGGTAGCGTGCGCCACGAAGCCGCACCCCCGTGACCCCACGTACAGACACCCTACGATCGCGCCTCCGGAGCGTGCTTCGTTGCACTTCTCGTTGCATGGGCAACGTTCTGCCTTGCCGCCGCGATCCGACGATCTCAGTCGAGACAATGGCGACGATGGCGTTTCGGGGCAGCGCCCTCGCGCTGGCGCTCGCCGCGACGGCCGCCCGGGACCTCCCGGCGCCCATGTCCGACTTCTACCTCGAGGGCCCGCTGGGCCACGAGTCGAACTTTAGCTACATGAACACGGCGACGCTGGGCCCCGCGCCGCGGGCCGTCGTCGAGGCCCTGTCCGCCGCCGCGGCGGACAACGAGAAGAACCCGAACGTCGACGTCTACGAGTACTTCAAGATCGGCGCGGAGCTCGTGCGCCACAAGGCCGCCAAGTTCCTCGGCTGCTCCGACGCGGAGGTGCTCCTCACGCCGTCGACGACCTTCGGCCTCAACACCGTCGGCGACGGCCTCATCGCGTCGGGCTTCGTCGGCGCCGGGGACCGCGTCCTGACGACGGACCAGGAGCACTACGGCGCGACGAACGTCTGGCGGACGCGCGCGAACGCGACGGGCTTTTCCATCGACGAGGTGGCCGTCCCGCTCTTCAACGCGACGGCCGCCGGGGTCCTCGCGGCCTTCGAGGCGAAGCTCAACGCCACGACCTACAAGGTCGTCGCCGTCGCGCACGTGCTCACGACGACGGGCTTCAAGCTGCCCCTCTCCGAGCTCGCGGACCTCGTCCACGCTCGGGGCGGGCTGCTCGTCGTCGACGGCGCCCAGGCGCCCGGCGGCCTCGACGTCGACTTTTCCAAGACGGGCGCCGACGCCTACGCGACGTCGAGCCACAAGTGGGGGCTCGGGCCCAAGGGCAGCGGGCTCCTCTGCGTCAAGGAGTCCGCACAGCCCAAGGTCCAGGCGACCTACCTCGCGGGCGGCTACGGCCGCGACATCGGCGCCCTGCCGGACGCCTACGGCGTCAAGACGTCGAGCTCGGGCACGGTGCCGCCGGCGATCATCGCGGGCCAGGGCGCGGCGTTCGACTATTTGGCGGACTTTGGGATGGCCGACGTCGAGCAGCACAACATGGGGCTCCGGGCCCGGGCCGCCGCGGCGTTTTCGGCGATGGGGTGCGCGCCGCTGGGCGCGCTCGACCCGGCCGCGGACTCGGCGCCCATCCTCACCATCGCGCTGCCGGACTCGCACGACGCGACGTGGACCTACCGCAAGCTCTGGCTCGAGTACGGCATCTTCGTCAAGTCGACGGGCGCGGCGTCCTACCCGACGGAGTGGCCGCCGGGCGCGCCGCAGCAGGCGATCCGCTTCTCCTTCCACGTCTACAACACGGAGACCGACGTCGACAGGCTCGTCGCCGCCGTCGCGAAGATTCTGGGCGACGCGACCGTGGCCCTGACCGTCTAAAGCAGGATATAGTCGTCCCCTTTCTCGTCGTCGAACGTGACGACGGGCACGGTCCGTCGCCGCTTCTCGTGGTCGATGTACTTCATGTCGAGGTTGAGCGTGAGCCGGTAGCCGCCGTCGGCCTCGTAGGCGAAGTCGTCCTTCTTGTAGCGCTCGTCGAGGAAGGAGATGAACGAGTCGGGATTGTGCGTGAGCGCGCGATTGACCGTGACCTTGGCCTGGAGCTCCTTCTCCTGGAACTCCTCGATGTCGTTGCCCGAGACGTCGAGCGCCGTGAGCGTCGTGTTCCGCCGCAGCACGTCGAGCAGGCGGTTGACGCCGAAGCCGCCCGCGGCCGTCGCGTCGTTCTCGGCCTGGGCAGCACAAGAGAGATTCAACATCGCTTCAACGTGAGTGTTCCGCGCGCGCGCGTTCCGGAAAAAGCATCCACGCTTCGAGACCGTTCCGAGAGATGATCGCTCGTCCAAAAATCAGCCGAAACGAGTGGAAAACGGCTGAGAGAGGAGCCTTTGAAGTTGGAAATTTCGCTCTCTTGTCCTGCCCTGTTCTCGGCGATCTTGAGGTCGACGATGGACCGGTTCGTCGCGAGCATGTCGGCGATGGCCTCGACGCCCCGCGCGCCGGCGCTGTTCGACGACAGGTTCAGCCGCTCGACCCTCGGGTGGCTCGCGGTGATGCCCGCGACGACCGCGATGGCCTTGTGGTCCAGCGAGTTCGCGGAGAGGTCGAGGCTCGTGATCGACGGCACCGTCAGCGTGTCCCGGAGCATGATGGCCTCCGGCAGGCGCAGCTCGAGGCCCGTCAGCTTCACGGTCTCCGGCGGCGTCTCGAGGAACTCGCGGAGCGGCAGGCAGTTGAGCGCGACGAGGTTGTCCGTCGACCGGAACGCGCGCGCGAGGCGCTCCGCGGCGCCCTCGGAGATGTCGTTGAGCCGCACGTCGATGCGCCGCATCGTGTAGTTGTCGCTGAGCACCTCCGCGAGCGCGTCGGCGGTCTTGTCCGTGATTTTCGTCTTCGACACGTCGAGATCCGTCAGCACGTAGTTCGACCGTAGAGCCCGCACGAGATTCAGCGCGTCCTCGTCGCGCATGAAGCAGCGCGACAGCGACAGGGACCGGATGGGGTAGTTGAAGCGCAACAGGTACTCGAGGAGGTAGAAGTCGTCCTTCTGGAGCGACTTGGACGCGAGCAGGAGCTCGCCCTTCATGTGCCCGGCGTTCCAGTAGGAGATCTTCTTCGGCACCTGGACCTCGTCGGCCTGCTCCTGGACGCTCCGCGGCTCCGTCTCCGCGCGGAGCAGCCGCGCGTCCTTCTCCGTCGGCGACAGGAGCAGGGACCGCGCGCGCCGCCGCGCCGGCGGCGGCTCCTCGCGCGCCTCCTCCTCCGCCGCGACCTCCTCCGCGGCCTCGGCCTCCTTCTCGCCCTCCTCGCCCTCCTCGCCCTCCTGCGTCTCGCCCTCCTCGCCCTCCTCGCCCTCCTTCTTCTCGCCCTCCTCGCCCTCCGCCTCGCCGTCCTCCTCGCCCTCCTTCTTCTCGCCCTCCTCGCCCTCGGCCGCGCCCTCCTCCTCCTGCTCCTCCTCGTCGCCGAAGAACTCCTTCTTCCACTCGGCGATGACGTCCTCGTCGACGGCGCCCTCGAGCAGCAGCGGCAGCGACGGCCGCCGCGGCAGCGTGTGGGCCTGGAGCTTCTTGGGCGTCAGGCCGTCGAGCAGCACGCGCGACGACTGCACGCGGTTCATGAGCTTGATGACCGCATTGCCCTCCTCGAGCTCGCCGATGCGCTTCTTCAGCCATGACCCCAGCTCGACCATGGTTACCGGTGCTGCGGCGCGGGCAGCGCGTCGCGCGCGCTGCCCAGACGCTGCCCGCTGCGACCTTGAATGTTCAACTGGGTTGGTTGCATCCATGATGCTGCGGCCGCGGCCGACGGCACGACTCGGTGCGCCCTTACGATGGACGAAGAATTAGACTGGCCCGACGAAGAATTAGACTGGCCCGAGGAACTGTGTGACGGCGCTCGCCGCGGTCGCCTCAGCTATGTGGAAGAGCTCCTTGACTGGGGCGCGGACGTAGACGCGCGGGACGACCGAAATGTGACGCCGCTGCACTGCGCCGTGTTCTATCGGCACACAGCGGTCGTTGATGTCTTATGCAAATGGGGTGCCGATGTCGACGCAACTGTCTGCGGGACCACTGCGCTCCATCTAACAGCCGACGTAATGGTGGGAATCGAATGGTGTGCGATCGCCTTGAACATGCCGCAGCAACGTGAACGAGAGAGCGCGCGCTGTGCCGAGCTTCTCATCGCGGCGGGCGCGGAGGTCGACGCGGAATGGCAAAGGAAGACGCCGCTCGCCCTGGCCCTCAAATCAGGCCACCGCCGGCTCGTGAAGATTTTGCTGGAAGCCGGCGCCAACGCGAGGCTGGCCGCCGCGAGTCGTCCGTTCCTCCTGCGCGACCGCGAGCCCTGGAAAGCCGCGCTCCGCCTGTACGACGCGGTCGCGGCGGCGGGCAGCTGGAAGCTCTACGTCGCCGAGCACCGGCGCGTCCTCGCCGGCGTGGTCTGCGCGTGCGCGCGCGTGCCGTTCCCGCTCGACGCGGCGGGCAACGTCGTCGAGTTCCTCTACCCGCCGGGAGGCTACTAAAGGACATGTGCTCTGTAATCTTGGGACTCATTGGCCGCCTTCCTCGGGCGCGGCGGCCGGGACCGGGCTCGCGCCGCGCGGGACCGGGAGCGGCGACGGCGGCATGTGGAGGAGCGGGTGGTCCTCGAACTGGTCCGGCGGCGGCGGCGGCGGCGTCCGCGACGCGTCGACGACGCGGGCGAGGGAGCTGCCGCCCGGGACGTCGTCCTGGCGGCGGAGCGTCGGCGACGGCTTCCGCGGCGAGACGTCGCGGCTGCCGCCGTCGCCGTTGGGCGTCTGGTCCGGGGCCTTGGCGCGGCGGACGCCGAGGGGCGCGCCCGAGAGGTTCTGGAGCGCCGCGCGCCGCACCTTCGACACGGCGCGCGGCGGCGGGCTCCGGGACCGCGCGGCGCCGCGCGACGCCGCGAGGGACGCGTCGAGCCCCGCGGCGTCGCGCTGGCGCCGGTGCTCCTCGACCTCGGCCTTGAGCTTTTTGTATTTGATCTCCAGCTTCCGCGCGTCCGCGGCGTCGCGGTCCCGCTGCGACCGGTCCGCGTCGCGCTGGGCCCGTAGCTCCTTGAGCTGGGACGCCGCGGACGCGCGGCACTTGACCTCGACGGCGAGGCGCTCCCGGAGCCGGTCGACGTCGTCGAGCGCCGCGCGGCGCCGCGACACCGCGAGGCTCACGTCGCCCTCCGTCGCGCGCTTCGACCGCTCGAGCGCGTGGCGCGCGCCGAGGTGGGCCCGCGCCTCGTGCTCGACGCGGCGCCCGAGGTCGTCGACGCGCCGCTCCGCCGCGGCGAGCTTGCGCTCCGCGGCCGTCGCGCGGTTCCGCGCGGCCGCGCGCTCCGCGAGCAGCGCGTCGCGCTCCGCGGCCCGCTGCCGCTCCGTCGCCTCGAGCACCCGCTTCGACTCGCCGATCTCCGCGCGCGCGGCGTCGACGTCGGCCTCCAGACCGTCGATCTTCTTCGCCGCCGCCTCGAGGCCCGCCTCGGCGACGGCCGCGCGCGCGCGCTCGCCGCCGATCTGCCGGTCCGCGACGTCGCGCGCGGCCACGGAGTCGTCGCGCTCGCGCGACACGCGCGCGACCTCGGCCAGGGCCTTGCCGAGCTCGACCTCGACGTTCTCCAAACCGCTCACGCGGCCCCGCGCCTCCGCCAAGACGGCCTCGGCGCACTCGAGCCGCTTCTGCAGCTCCGCGCGGTCGCGGTCGCCCTCGCGCGACGCGTGGAGCTCGGAGGCGAGCGCCGCGATGCGGTGCGACGCGACGTCCTGCTCCTTCTTCGCCTCGTGGAGCGCGGCGACGAGGGTGGCGTGCTGCTCGTCCTTGGCCCGCGCCAAATCCGCGTGCGCCTCCGACTTCACGGCCGCGAGCGCGAGCGCCCGCTCCGCCTCGAAGGTCTTCTTCGACTCCTCCGCGGCGGCCGTCAGCTTCTGCACGGCGCGCTCGCTCCGGGCGAGGTCGCGCCGCGCCGCGTTGCGCTCCTGGACGGCGGCCTCGATGGCCCGGTTCGACGCGACCAAGCGCTGCTGCATCTCGCGGATCGTCGCGATGGCGAGCTCGAGGTTGCGCTTCAGCGAGTCGACGTCGTAGTCGTCGAGGGCGAGCTCCACGGCCGGCGCGGGGCCCTCGGCCGGCGGCGGCGTCGCGGACGCGGGCGGCGGCGACGCGGCGCCCCGCGGGAGCTCCGCGGGCTCGTCGCCGCAGTCGCCGTCGCCGTCGTCGTCGACGACGACGGTCGCGTCGGGGCTCAGCAGCAGCTCCGCGGCGCTCAAAAGGCCCCCGGGCTCCTCGGGCGCGTAGCCCTCGAGGGCGCGCTCCTCGGCGGCGCGCTCGTCCGCGCTGCTCGGGCTCGCGGCCGCGTCGAGCGCGACGGGCGCCGAGAGCTCGCCGTCGCGCTCGGCGGGCGCGGCCGGCGGCGGCGGCCGCGACGCCGGCGGCGGCTCCTCGGCCGGTGCGCCCTCGAGGTTCGTCTGCAGCCAGCCCTGGATCGGGCCGCCGGCCGCGGCCGCGGGGACGCGCGTCGCGGCCGCGGCCGCCGCGGCCGCGAGCGTGTCCGGCGGCGGCGCCGGCGCCGGCGCGGGCGCGGGCGGCGGCGCGGCGGGCGCCTTCGCCTCGCTCGCCGCCGGCGACGCCGGGACCGACGCCGCCTCCTCGCTGCCGGACTCGGACTCCTCCTCGGACGACGACGTCGGCGCCCGGTTCGACGACGGCGAGCTCGACGCCCGCACGTTCGCCTCGATGGACGCGCGGTGCGCCGCCATGCGCTCCCGCAGCGTCGCCAGCGGGTCGCGCTTCGTGGGCGACGCGTCGGCCATGGCTGCGGTGGAAGCCGGGCTGCCTCTATACGCAACGTTTTTAGCGTCGCGCTTGAGGGTCAACATCGCGGCACGCGAGACTTCAAGAGTCACGCGAGGTGCAATCAAAATTTAGGAAAAAAAGGGCCGGCGAGGAGCGTTCAAAGCGCACGTCCACGCCCACCGCCTCGAACAAAAAGCCTGCGGAGGGGATAGCTGTGGACCCGAACGTAGCCCGGCGGCGGAATCTCGCGACCGACGAGATGTTCGATCGGGGCGCGTAGTGGTGTGCCTTTCGTCTCGGAGGAGCGTCCTTTCGGGCGAGCGCCACGGGCGTTCGGCGTCGCGCCGGCCTTGCTCTCCTTGCGACCCCCCAAAAAAGGACGCGGCGCCTCGCGCGTCGTCAGCGGACGCGCGTCACGCCGCCGCCGCCGCCGCGGCAGGGGTCGCAGTGCTCGCGGAGCATCGCGCGGAGCGGGTGGTCGAGACCCGACGCCGCGTCGGCGAGGGCCTCCGCGGCCGCGGGCGCGAGGGTCATGCCGCTGGGCCCGAAGCCGTCGAGGAGCCAGACCTGGGGCAGGCCGAGCGCGCCGAGGTCGCCGACCAAGGGCAGCCCGTCGGCGCTGAAGGGCATGGGCCCCGACCACGCGCCGTCGAGCTCGAGGCCGTCGCCGACGGCCGCGGGCCCGACGAGCTCCCGCGCGTGGCCGCGGGAGCTCGCCGTCGACTCGTCCGTCGTCGCGTAGCCCTCGGCCGCCGTCTCTACGGGCACGCGGTCGCCGCCGAAGAGCACGCCCGGACAGTCGGACCGCGGCCGCCCGTACAAGTGGCGCACGCGCCGTGCGCCGTCGACGTGCGTGCACTTGGCCGGCGCCGTCTTCAGGTTTTGCCAGGCGACGGCGGAGCCCTGGGAGTAGACGACGCGTGTGAGATCCTGCGTCTCGTCGCCGCTTTGCGACGCGACCCAGATTTGGCCGCGCACGGGCGACACGGGCGCCTCGAGGCCGAAGCTGTCGCGCAGCAGCGGCCGCGCGCCGGAGCCGTTGGCCACGACGACCTGCGCCGCCCGGAAGCGGCGCCCGGACGCGCACGCGCACGTCGCGCCGCCGGCGCCGTCCGCGGCGACCGCGGCGACGGCGTCGCCCTCGACGACTTCCGCGCCGCGCGCGCGCGCGTGGTCCGCGAAGGCCCGCGCGGCGTCCCCCGGGTCCACGTAGCCGCTCCGCGGCGTGAAGATGGCCGCGACGGCGCCGCCGCCCGCGAGCGCCGGCTCGAGGGCTACCGTCTCCTCCCGGTCGAGGAGCCGCGCGTCGACGCCGCGCGCGCGGAAGTCCGCGGCCGCGGCCTCGGCGGCCGCGAGCTCGCCGGGCGCGCCGCTCACGAGCGACAGCGCGCCGCAGCGCACGAGGCCGCAGCAGCCCGGTTGGCGCGCCTCCGCGGCCTCGTAGCACGCCATCGAGTGATAGGCGAGCGCGTCGTAGAGCGCGGGCGTCGTCGCGGCGCCGCCGCACCAGAGCGTGCCCGCGGAGAGGCCCGTCGCCTCGCAGGCGATCGTCTCCCGCTCCACGAGCACCGTGCGCCGGCCGTTGGCCGCGAGCCGCAGCGCGCAGGCCGTGCCGGCGATGCCGCCGCCGATGACGACGACGTCGACGTCCTCCGCGGGCGCGTCGCAGCGCGCGGTCTCGGCGAGCGCGGCGAGCGCCGCCGCCGGGACGAGGCGGCAGCGCGCCGCCAGGTGCCGCAGCAGCATCGTCGAGCTTTTCAGGGCTTGGCCATTGTCTTCCTCGACGGCAACATGGGCCTCAACTGGTTCAATGATGCACATTTTTCGGCCCAGCAATGCTTGGTATAATGCTGGAATGCTTGGTACAAGCGGCAACTCTACTCGTCTTTTCGTGCTCGTGATCGGCTGGGAGCATTCTAGGCAGCCTTTCGCGCTCCAGCTCAAAAGATTCTAAGCAACAACACATTACCACACAACAACGACGTCGATCATCTACGTGAAAGAGCGGCCCATGGCGACGAAGATCTCGCCCACGGACACGGACCCCTCGAACGCGCCGCTCGTGGACCTCGTGCAGGCGCTGAAGGGGGCCCTCGGGTCCGACGGCCCCCTCGTGCCCGTGCTCCTGTCCGCCTGCGAGCAGCTCGGCGTGCCGCCGGGCGGGACGCTCCGCGACCGTGCCGCGAGCTGCGTCGCGGCGCTCGGGTGCGACGTGCCGCGCGCGTCCGCCGCGGAGCGCGGCGCCCTTGTCGGCGAGCGGCAGATCCTCTGCGACTACTGCGGCGCCGACTGCACGGACGCGTCCTGGCTCACGTCGGGCAAGGTTGACTTGTGCACGGAGTGCAAGTATGCGGACGCGAACGCGCGCGACCCGGACGTGAGCCGCGCCGCGTTCCAAAAAAAAGGCAAGGAGGCGCCCATCACGGCGCAGCCCCGGCCGAGCAGGCCGAAGTGGAAGGGGCCGGGCACCGCGGACGACTTCGCGGGCGTCTACCTCTCGGCCTGCGTCTGCTGGTTCCCGCCCTTCTACTCGCTGGACGTGATGTGCATCGACAAGGTGTCCCCGACCCACGTGACGGCGTGCCACTGCGGGGTGCCGCTTCCATGGAAACAACACTACCAGCTCGAAATGAAGCATGGACGCATGCGGTGGTCCGCGTACGACGAGGCGGAAGGCAAGCCCGGCGGGCCGACGTGCGAGGGCAAGCAGCACGCCACCCTCCTCGGTCCCAATGTCCACCTGATGGGCCCCTGTTGCCTCGGATGCGCCGTCAAACTGTGCAAAAAGTGAGGAGCCGGTCCCGCCGCGTCCGTCGCCGTAAGCGCGCGTCCGTCTCCGGCGCCGCGGGGGCGACTCCGCGGGGCAGCGCGGTTCGACGACGGAGTCGCAGGCATGCCAGGCAGCGGCCACGCGTCGCAGCGCGCTGGGTGGCCGGGCAGCCGGGGCCGCGACGCCACGGCCAGGCGCGACGCCGCCGCCGCGGCCGCGGCGGCGCTGAGTCGGACCGAGTCGGGCTCGCCGAGTAGAGCATGAGCCCTGCACCGCCGCGATGAGCGCCCACGCGCAGGCGAGCGCCAACGGCGCCAACGGTTCGAACGGCGCCAACGGTTCGAGCGCGCACAATGGCGCAGCGAGCATGGAGACGGACGAGGTGACGGTCATCATCGACGCCGGCTCGACGTGCCTGCGCTGCGGCCTCGCCGGCGACGACCAGCCGCGCGTCACCATCCCCTGCGAGTTCGCGGGGCGGCGGCAGAGCGACGTGAGCGACGGCGGCGAGGCGCCGCGGCCGCGGTGCCCCCTGGAGGGCGGCGTCGTGAAACACTGGGACGCGATGGAGGCGCTGTGGCGGCGCGCGTTCGCCGAACTAAACGTCGACCCGCGCGGCGCGGCGGTCATGCTCAGCGAGGCCGTCGGCAACCCGGCGCCGGCGCGCGAGAAAACAACACAAATCTTCTTCGAGAAGCTCGGCGCGCGCGCGCTCTACCTCGCGCCGGCCGCCGTGCTGCGAACCTACGCGGCCGGCCGGACGACGGCGCTCGTCCTCGACGTCGGCGACCGCCGCGCGAGCGCCGTGCCCGTCCACGAGGGCTTCGCGCTGACGGCGGCGACCGTGGCGCTGCCCGTCGCCGGCCGCGACGTCACGGCGCATCTCCAAAAAGCGCTCCGAGTGGACGAGGCGGCCGCGCGGGCCGTGAAGGAGAGCGCGTGCGCGGTCCGCGGCGGCGGCGCCGACGAGGCCGCGCTGCCGGCGACGTACACGCTCCCCGACGGCACGGCCATATCGCTGGGCGACGAGCGCTTCGCCGCGCCCGAGGTCCTCTTCGCGGCGTCGCCCGCCGCGCCGCAGGCCGTCGTCGACGCCGTCGGCAAATGCGACAAGGACTACGCGAAGGAGCTCTACCCGGCGCTGCTCCTCGCCGGCGGCAGCACGCTCCTGCCGGGCTTCGGCCTGCGGCTCCACGCGGGCGTCCTCGCGCTCGCGCCGACGTCCAAGGCGACGCTCGCGGACGCGCCGCACCGGCTCACGGGCGGCTTCGTCGGCGCGTCCATCCTCACGTCCATCACCGCCTTCACGGCCATGTTCGTCTCGCGGGCCGACTACGACGCCAAGGGCGGCCGCGTCGTCCACGACAAGTGCCCCGCGAGCGGCTGCTAACGTTAGGCGGAAATCGCTACTGGGACGGCTCGTTGGCCCAGGACGGCTCCTCGGCGACGCGGAGGCCCGCGCGCTCGATGCGCGCGCGCGTCATGTCGTCGAGGTCCGCGGCCCGCCGCGACGCGCCCTCCTCGGCGTCGCCGCCGTCGTCGTCGTCGTCGTCGTCGCGGCGCGGCGCCGGCGCCGCGCGGCGCCGGAAGCCGGTCGCGCGCTCCGCGGCCGCGCGCTCCGCGGCCTCGCCCTCGAGGAAGTTCGACGGCGCGAGCTGGCCCGGCCGCCGGAACCCCGACCACTCGTCCTCCCGGAGCTGCTCCTCGGCGAGGAGCTTGCGCGCGGCCGCGCCGAGGGGCGACGCCGGGTCGAGCATGGCCTTACTGGCCTCGAGCGCCCAGATCACGAGGCCGAGCACGAGCACCATGGCGCCCTTGTACTCCAGGGACGTGACGACGTCGCCGAAGAGCAGCGCGCACGCGAACATGACGAGGACGGACCGCGCGGCGACGAAGAGCACGGCGACGAGGGCCGAGAAGCGGTCGACGACCGCCAACGCGAGCGCAGCGGCGACCGCGAAGAGGCCCACGTCCAGGCCCAGGAGCCAGACGCCCCAGCGCCCGGCGATGGACGACCGCGCGTCGAGCTGCCCGAAGGACTCGCGCCCCCGGGACCAGGCCGGCGCGAGCTCGAGGCCCACGGCCGCGGCCGCGACGACCGCGACGGCGACGGGCGCCGTCAGCAGCAAGCCCCCGAAGTGGTCCAGCGGCGGCCGGTCGTCGCGCGGCCTCTTGTCGAGGCGGAAGCGCCGCTCGAAGCCGAGGACGTAGCCCGCCGCCAGCACCTGCGCGAGGCAGAGCAGCCCGACCCAGAGCCGCGACGTCTCGCCGACCTCGGCCTCGCCCAGCGCCATGATGCCCGCGCCCCCAAAGGCGACGAGCAGCGCGAAGAGCGACGCCGCGCCGCCCGCGGGCAACACGTGCTCGTCGGGGCAGCAGCAGCCGCAGTCGTCGTAGGACCCGACGCTGTCGTCGTCGCGGTCCGACGCGTCCGCGCGCGCGGGACCCGCGTCGCCGCCGTCCCCGGCCTCGGCCTCCGCCATTTCCGCCGGCGACGCCGCGCCCCACTCGTCGTAGTCCAGGAGCTTCGCCTTGCGCAGCGCGACGCCGAGGAAGAGGACGACGACGCCCTGAACGGACGCGAAGGCCATCGCGAGCCGCGGGCCGCACGCGCGCGCGCGCGTCGCCTCCTGCATGATCGCCGCCGACGCGCCGGCGAGCACGCCCAGGGGCGCGTAGCGGAGCGCGTACTCGCGCAGCGACACGCGCCGGAGCCAGTCGCCCAGGCGGCCGTCGCGGTGCGCGCCGACGAAGCCGAGCGCCGCGGACGCCGCGAGCTGCATCGCGGACAGCGAGAGCGGGAAGGGAAAGTTGCCGCGCACGAGCTCGCGGTCGACGACGCTCAGCGGCACGGACACGGCGAGCCAGGGCAGGAAGAGCGCGAGGCCCGCGCGCGCCTCCGACGAGACGAGCGCCTCGGCGACGCCGGGGCCGACGGAGTTGCCGCGGACGTCGTCGGCGCCGCACGCGAGCCGCGGCAGCAGGATGACGAGCGCCGCGGCGACACAGAGCGCGCAGGTGAAGGCCGACCGCGACCGCACGGTCGCGCTCGCCGCGTGGTGGTGCTCGCGCTCGCGCGGCCGCACGGCCTTGAGCATCGTCGCCGTCGTCGTGCTGTCCGACGCGGCGTCGCCGACGCCCGGCGCCGCGACGGCCGGGCCCGCGCGCGCCTCGGCGTCGCGGCGCGCTTCGTGGGGGTTCGCGCCGAGCATGAGGAAGAGGCTGCCGAGCGCGACGGCGACGAAGAGGCCCCGGACGCTCACGCGCGGCAGCGCCAGGCCGCGCGCCGCCGGCGCCGCCTTCGCCTTCGCGCCGTAGTATTTGAGCTTGGTGGTTGACGGCTTCAGGAGGGGCGCGCGCTCCGAATTGAAGGAGGCCATCGCCGCCTGCGCAGGCTGTCGAGGCAGGGCACTGCTCGGCGGCGCAGGGAAACTCGGCTCCCGCTTTGACGGGCTGTTTTCCAATACGGTACCTTGACGACAACCATATGATACTTACGGGCCGTATCATCACGGTTAAAGAGGCTGCCTTCTCGATAGCTCAGCGCTTCTTCAGCTCTGTGGGGGGCTGGATCGAGTCGCGCCGCCATGGCGGAGCCCGCGCGGGTCCTGCGGGCGGCGGAGGACGGGCGGACCTTCGGGGACACGGTCATCACGCTCGTCGCGCCGGTGCTGCTGTCGCTGTCCCTCTTCGTCACGGCCGAGTCCGTGCGGCGCATGCTGCGCCGGTTGGCCGCGGCGAAGGCGCACGTCGAGACCCGGAGCGCCGTGAAGAAGGAGCTCAAGTACGCCGTCGACGCGGAGGCGGGCGGGGCGCTGAGCGCCGAGGCCGAGGCGGCCCTCCGCGCGGCCGTGCGGTTGCCGTACCTCTTCACCGCCGCGGACGCGTACCTCGTCTACGCGGACGCGTTCGCCGACGGCGCCTTCGTCGTCTTCTACGTCATCTCGGGCTGCGCCATCTTCGGCTGGTACGAGCGCTGGCACTGGACCGAGACCTGGTACTACCTCGCGGTGACGTGCACGACGGTCGGCTACGGCGACTACAGCCCCGCGTCGCAGAGCGGCAAGCTCTGGGCCTGCCTCTACGTGCCGCTGGGCATCGTCCAGATCTTTAGCATCATCACGTCGCGCGTGACGGCCTTCGAGGACGGCTTCGAGGGGCTCGAGGCCTGGGTTTTGCGGGCCTTCTTCGGCGTCGAGGCCGTCGACACGCTCAGATTGCCCGCGGAGGAGTACTCGCCGGCGGACGTCCGGGCGCGCATCTGGTACCCGCGGCGCGTCCTCGTCAAGGCCCTGCCGCTATTGGTCGCGCTCGTCGTCTTCTTCCTCCTGCAGCGCGGCGCGGGCGGCGCGGGCGGACGGGGCCGCACCGTCGTCGACGCGTTGTATTTCACGGTGGTCACGGCGACGACCGTGGGCTACGGCGACCTCACGCCGACGTACCACGCGGACAAGATGGCCACGGGCGTCATGTGCATCGTACTGGTCGTGGTCACGGCGAACTTCATCGGCGCGATGCACGGCCTCTTCCTCCGGCGGGCCGCGCGCGCGGGCGCGTACCGGCCCGACGTCGAGGCCATCGCTCTCGGCAACCGGGGCCGCACGGGCCGGTCCCTCGTCTCCGAGAGCGAGTACGTGCTCGGGGCGCTCGCGCGCGCGCGGCTCCTCGACGAGGAGATCGTCCAGGCGCTCCGGCGCCAGTTCGCGTGGGAGGCGACGCGCGGCACGCCCCTGGGCACGGTCATCGACCTCGACGCCATGCACGCGCTCCAGACG